GTGGTGGCGCACGCCCTTAATCCCAGCACTCGGGAGGCAGAGGCAGGTGGTTCTCTGTGAGTTCGAGGCCAGCCTGGTCTACAAGAGCAGGGCTGGCTCCAAAGAAACCCTGTCTCCAAAGAACCCATATATATAATATTCATATATTCATAATATATATGAATTAAAAATCTGCAGTTATTCCTTTAGGGGCTGAGAGCTAACAAGCTCTCTGGGGCCACCAAGTCTCCAAGTTAAATGCTACTCTTGAAAAGGGAAGGGGTAGGTCAGGGGAATTAGAAAGTGTTTGAATTTAAATGCTAACAGTTTTGGATTTTTTTTGCACAACAGCAAAAGGGACCATGTTTTCAAACATCAACGCATAAATTCAATTGCTATATGTGAGAATATTCTATGAGAATAGTTTGGAAACCGCAGAACAATGACAAAATCAGCATTTGCCCCATTTCATACGATCTCAAAGATCTTCAAAGTAATACGCCTGCAACAAAATTGTGAGAGCGGTATCCTTAAGAGTAGCTGATTCAGTTCCAAATCAGCTTCCCTCGCAGCTCCTCTGACCTGGGAGATTCCAGGGCCGCCGGGCTGCGGTTCCCTCACTGCGTTGCTGACTTTCCCAGGCCGCCCCGCGGCGACTGCGGCTCTGGGGCTGTTTCCAGGTCCCGGCGAGAATCTGGTTTGTATTCGCCACCACTAGCAAAATACAACCGTTTCCCTGAGGTACTTCTGAAAATGGAGGGTTTTCCGGCCCCTCCCGCCTGTGTTTCTTAGAGCCGCCTCCGAACCTGTCCATCATACACAGGTTCCGGTTACGTACTCCTTTGTCCCTGCCCACCCATTGAGTTTTCCTGGCGTTCCTAGCTTGTTTTATTTTTGCCATCACTCCTCTGGTCTATACCAGTGTCCCTCCTCCTTGGAGACCCATCACTCCCACTGTTTCAGGCCGTCTTCCACACAGCTTCAGCTGTCAGGCTGCCCTGGACCCGCTCTGCACAGCCTCCCCACTTGTTTGCTGCCAGCCTAGACCAGAACTGGAACTAGGAGGACACTGCACCCCGGTATTACCCCCAAACTTCGACTTGACTACCAGCCTCCTGGACTACATACACACACCAAAAAATAACAGGCTAAATTCAGATACCAGTGTCCCATTCATGACACAAACATGACAAGCCAAAACCAAATACTGAAATTGTGGAGAGACTTGGGGAGAGACAGTTCAGGAACTTGGATTTTGAAAAGTCAGTGGTCAGCCCATTGCAGTAGTGGCAGGCATGCCTTCATGTAACAAAACAGCTTTCTAATTGTTTAAGACCCTCTTAACAAAAGGGAAACCATGACAGGTGCTCCCTACTGGTGCAGGTGAAGACGTGAATCTTGGAGGAAAACTACAACTACCACTATACTAAACCAGTATAATCCGTAACAAGAATCTAAACATTTTTCCTTGTACCCAGAAATAAGCAAGGTCTTTATCCCTCATCAAGAAAATTTCTCTTTGCAACAGAGATCACTACAAAAAAAGCCAACAACTAATCAAATGCAGAGTTGTGGAGGTCAGACTCAATGGATTTCATCTACAAAACACTCCTGTACCTAAGACTAAAGAAAAAAATTTGAAGAGGGGATAGAAAGATTGTAAGAGTCAGAGTGGATCAGGGAGTTTGCTGTGAGGTTTGTGTTTCCTAGTAAGGCCAGAGGCTATTCCCATAAAAATCTCACTAACACGATCACCCAAAAGGAGTGGAACAAGGATAACAATGGACATGCCAAGTGGCTGGGGAAAAGTCCACAAGGCCTCAACCCTACACGCAGAACTAAAAGCAACTGGGGAATGCTTGGAGCAGGAGAAATAGTCTCCCCAGAGGAGAACACACAATTGGTTACCCAATACCAAATGATCAGCCTTGAAAACTTACATACAAGGAACATGACACAGACAGAATAGGTTATATTGAGAAATATATATACATGGATATATCAATATGCAGTAACAATGAAAAAAAGAGGCCATAAATTTAAGAGATCAGGGAGAGGTATATGGGAGGAAAAGGAAAGGTAAAATAATAAAATGTATATTATAGTATAGTATGTATATTATATATATAGTATAGCATATATAGTATAACATAACATATACTATAGTATATTAGAGTATAATGTATAACTAGTATAATATAATAACCTCAAAATTAAAACAGTAAAAACAAAAATAAAACAAACAACAAACCCAAACTTAAGAAAAGCGGCTATAAAGCAATCAGAAAATGCAGACTAGGACTCCTTGAGCTTTTCATCTCACCCTAGTTACAAATGCCATCATCAGGGCTGGAGAGATGGCTCAGTGGTTAAGAGCATTGCCTGCTCTTCCAAAGGTCCTGAGTTCAATTCCCGGCAACCACATGGTGGCTCACAACCATCTGTAATGAGGTCTGGTGCCCTCTTCTGGCTTGCAGACATACACACAGACGAATATTGTATACATAATAAGTAAATTAGTATTTACAAATGCCATCATCAGGAACAGAAATGATAACTAATGTTTGCATAAATGTGGGGAAAGGAAGTCATACACTCCTGTGGAAGTGAAAAGTAGAGAGGGAACTTTCATATATTCGTCTAGATAGTCTCAAAAAAGAAAATTCCCGTGTGACTCCAATTACAGAATGGGACTTGATTTCTGTGGAAACAATGACAAACATCTAATTATCACAGATAAGTAACCAATGACAAACCAAAATTGGGAAACCAACAATTTGGCTTCTTTTTCTTTAGAGACGTGTTTTATCTGCATGTATGTTTGTGCATCAGAGGTGCCTGAAGAGGCTACAAGAGGGCACTGGATGTTCTGGAATTGAGGTAACAGATTGAGTGCCCATGTGAGGGTGCTGAGAATTCAAAGTGAGTCTTCTGAAAGAGCAGACAGTGCTCTTAACCACTGAGTCATCCCGAAGCCTAGAGGATCCCAGAATTCTTTTGAGGTGAGAGACTTTGGAGGGTCGGTGGGGCAGCCGGTCCCATGAGGAGTGGTGGCAGGTGAGAGATGGATAGACACCATGCAGAGAAAGTGGGTATAGTTCATTTAGTGGGTTATAGAAGGGAAGGAGAAGGGGGGAAGAGAGGGAGAGAACAGAAGTCACCTCTTCAGGAGAGAGATGGAATGAGAGAGGACAGGCTGGAGGAGACAGGATATTTGCTTCCCTCTGTGGAAGGGGAGGGCTTGGGACAGGGCAGGGCTCGTTTCTTAAAAAAAAAACCAGGGTACCCAGGTGACAGACCAGGCCAGCAGATCATAACTAATGGGACACTGAATAATGTGTTCTAAGTCTTTAACTGGGAATGGGGCAGGAAGAAGTGGGTCAACCAAAAGTAAGGATTATGAAGTCTTATGAAATCCTGTTTTCTTACAAGCTAATATTAAACATGAATTTAAAATCCTTGGAGATATCCCACAAGGGTAAATAATGCTGCTTCCAGACACCAGGTATATTAAATGGAACTCTCTGTACCAGGTATGGGTCATCGGCCTAGGGCTTACTAGACAGGGAGGCCCCATAGTCAACCCCAAAGCAGGCCATTACAAGGGCTCTTACTTGGCCACCCTAAGTACATGGTGTTGCTGAAGGTCCCAAACACTTTGATTGCAAGATAGATCTTAAACTTAACCAGGAGAGTCTCACAGGACTGCAAAGAAAAGATGTCAATGGTCTTATCTACTCCTGTACCCTACATTCTACAAACAAACCTACTAGCCAACATGTGTGCACTGGTGCAACCCTGGCACGACTGCTTATGGGAATAAACAACCTCTGTCCTGATTGGATTTGAAGTCCGCTCCACAGAGGGAATTCATGCCAAGTACTGTAAACATGGCCAAAAACCATGGCTTGGGAATTAAAGGTCCAAAGACAGAACCTACTGATGTTTTCTTGATGATCATGTTGTTATTATGCCATCTAAATATTCCTGCTCATAATTACCAATCTTTACTACTCTCAACCTTGGAGAAAGAAGTGTACTCTTGTAGTTGATAGTGGGTGACGCGGTACTGCCAATAAGCAACTGAGTAAGGTTGAATAGTTGCCGTTTCATCATGGCTGAGGGAGTGTTCCAAGAGTCTCCTTTCCCTCTTAAGGGTCTACTGGTGGTTAATGGAAGCTATATCATTTTGTTTCTAGTTTGGTGTAAATACATCCGCATAATTTTTGTACCTCCAGAGTGCAGATATTGAAGGTGTGAACCACCATACCGGGCATTATTGTGAATTTTTAGATGTTGAACAAGATAAATGTTTTTATTACAGCTTTTTCCAGGGACTGAAGAGATGGCTTAGTGGTTACTAGCACTGGCATCCCTTCTAGAGGGCGGGTGTTCAATTCCCAACACACATGAAGTGGCACACAGTTGTCTGTAACTACAGCATCAGGGCATCTGATGCCCTCTTCTGACCTCCACAAGTAGCAGGCAAACATGAAGTGCACAGTATACAAGGAGGCAAAGGAAGCATACACAGTAAGAAAAAAAAAATGAAAGGCAAAAAAAAAAAAACCAAAACTCAAGCTTTTTCACACACTTACATTTTCAATTTTATTTCAACATAAACTTGGGGATATTTTCTAAGATTTAATCTTCCTTAAAGACTTTCACAAATTTCTTTGTTTCTTTCTTTTTTGTTTATTGGTTTTGTTTTTCGAGACAGGTTTTCTCGGTGTAGCCCTGGCTACCTGAAACTTGCTTGCTCTGTAGACAAGGCTGACCTCAAACTCAGAACTCAGGGATCTTCCTGCCTCTGCTTCCTGAGTGCTCAGATTAAAGGTGTGCACCGCGACTCCTGGCTATTTATGTTTCTATTATGTATACTGTTGTGATTTGTAAGCATAGAATACTGGATAAATGTTATGTCACATTATTTTTTAAATGGTATTTTACTCTCCAGTATGAATTTTCTGATGTGCTCTATGATTTGAGCACTTTGTAAAAAAATTTGTTAGATTCCTTACGTGTGTAAGGTCTTTCTCCAGTATGAACTCTCTGATGTATTCTAAGAGTTGAGTCCTGGGTAAAGGATTTGTCAGAAACCTCACATTTGTAAGGCTTCTCACCAGTATGGACTCTGTGATGCCTTTTAAGATGTGATAATTGGATAAAGGACTTATCACATTCTTTACATCTGTATAATCCATCTAGAGAATGAATTCTCTGTTGCCTTTTAAGTGATGAATAGTGGGTAAAGGATCTGGCACACTCATTGCATTTGTAAGGCTTCTCTCCACTGGGCAATCTGTAATGGTTTTTAAGACGTGAAAGCTGATGAAAGACCTTGCCACACTCAAGACACGGATAGTGTTCCTTCGCAGCATGGATTTTCTGATGTCTCCTGAAACTCGAACAGTGGGCAAAGGATTTGTCACATTCCTTACATTTGTAAGGCTTCTCTCCTGTATGCGTTTTCTGGTGGCTATGAAATGCTGACATCTGAGGAAATGACTTTCCACATTCTTTGCATTTGTAAGGTTTCTCCCCAGTATGAAGTCTTTGATGTGTTTTAAGACTTGAGCACTGATTAAATGATTTGTCACAGACCTCGCATTTGTAAGGCTTCTCACCAGTATGGATTCTGTAATGCCTTTTAAGATGTGATAACTCAATATAGGACTTACCACACTCTTTACATTTGTATAATTTCTCTAAAGAGTGAATTTTCTGATGCCTTCTAAAAGATGAATAGTGGGTAAAGGATCTGCCACAGTCACTGCATTTGTAAGGCTTCTCTCCAGTGTGGAGTCTTTGATGTGTTTTAAGATTTGTATATGGAGTGAAAGATTTGTCAGAAACATTGCACTCACAGCGCTTCTCTCCAGTATGGATTCTCTGCTGTCCACTGAGGCTTGAGGCAGTACTGAAGCATTTCCCACATTTCTCACACTGGTGTGGTTTCTCTTTAACGTAGACTCTTTGTTGCAAAAGACTGTATATGGAGTCGAAATAATCATATTCTCCCTCCCTGAGCTCTTTCTTTGCATTGGAGAATCTCTGATCTTTATTAATGCTGGGACACAAATTTAAAGATTTTTCAAAGTCTTTAGATTTGCAAGGTTCTTCTCCAGTGTGCATGCTGTCATGTCTTTCTGGGTTTGATGAGTCAATGGAGTCATCTCTGTGATTACTGCATCTGTAGTTACTAGAGTTTTCTGTAGTTTCACTTGTTTTATAGAATGCACATGTGGAGGTGTCATGAAGCACTTTACCAAGCTCATTACACTGACAAGACTTCTTTTCATTATTCACATGGTGATGGACAGGATCACATATGCAATAGTTCTCTGAAAATGAGTACAAGTCATATTAACAGGGCTTGTTCTAAGATTAAATATTTGATAAATGACTGTTTCTCTAAGTTCTCTCTTAAGTCAACCAACAACTATTGAAAATAGAGCTTTCAGTAGTTCACAATTTTCATTCACTATAATTGTATGAATTCTCACAAAAACAGAATGGAATCCTTCAAGGTAGATGAAACAATTATTGAGGATAGTAATTAGCTTTGATTCAACCATAAAGAGTATAGTTCAGAAGACCCAATTCCTTTTAAGATTAAAGGCTTTTTTTTTAAAAGAATAAAGGTGTTTATTTTTTCAGATACCATAAAAAAGTTCTTTCTTTTTACCAAATGTTCCCTAGTCTCCTGCTGTTTCCAAGACAGCTTAACAGAGCTTTTACAGCCTGTGAAGCCAGTACATACAAAGATGAGTTACAAATTCTAAAAGCAAACTGTTCTCACCCACAAATACAAGGTTGCTGTAATTCTCCAGCATCACATCAATGTACAAAGCCCTCTGAGCAGAGTTCAGGCATTTCCACTCCTCCAGGGAGATGTCCACAGTCACATCCCTGAAGGTCAACAGACCCTGCAATTTAAAAGTACAGTTTAGCTGAGTGTAGTGGCACACACTTTTAATCCTTGCACTCAAGAAGCAGAAGCAGGTGGATTCCTGAGTTCCAGGCCAGCCTGATCTATAAAGTGAATTGCAGGACAGCTAGCTAGGGCTGTTACGCAGAGAAACCCTAAGCCCATAAACAAGGAAACACAAGTACAGTTGACCAGATGGTAATGGACAGAGTACTTTTCTAAACAGAAGAAGACTTAAGAAAATTAGAGATGTAGATGAGTGAAAACAATTACTGAAAAAGATGATTTTTTTTTAAACACAGTAACATTCTATAATGAATTTTCCAACTCTCTCAAAACAGGAGGACATAATAATGTCACAAGTAGATATATGAAACACACATTTAAGATCTGGACATGACTTTCTATCTCTTATGGATGCTGTGTTTATGTCTCACAGGATCACAGTGCACATGTCTCAGAAGGAAAAATCATCATGAGGAAATGTGCATTAAATGCTGTACCTGTAGATCATGCTAAAACACTGACACCAATCAATCTTGTGTGTGCTTGTGCCTTACATGACTCTATTCTAACAGGCTCTGTTGGGATGTTTAAACTCTAGGCCTGACACCTAGCTAAATAGCAAAAGTGTAGGTATGGAAGGCAGATATTAATACTGACATAGGCAAAAAGTTTTGTATTTTTTTCCCTCAGTAACAAGGAGTGTAACTAGACTTCAGACTGCCAATTTTAACATTAATATATATGATAGATAGTTCATGAAATTAATTTTATAAGAATATTTGGGAAGGTAGAAAAATTTGCATCAGCCATATCTAATATAATCTAAAATTTTCCTAAAACACATAAAGCCAACTTAGACAAATAATATTTTTAGAAGTTCTGAAGAATATTTCACTCCCCAAGAGTTGTACAAATTAATGGAAGTTCAAAATCAAATCACATCAAATAATATTTTCATTGCAGCTAAGCATGTACACATAAGTACAGTGACTGTGAATGCATTTAAAAGTGGCATCGACTTCCTACGAATAAATGGATACATTAAATTGTGTGAGAATTACTGTCACCTTTTATTGCTTTACAAATATGACAGAGTACAGAAGAATGGCTCACGCGAAAATCTGAGCTACAGCATCTGAATTCTGTATGTTCAATGTATACTTTTTAGTACTTATGCTGTATTGTCTAAAAGATTTTAAGTTAATAGTGTTCATGATTCTTCCTTTATTTCTCTGGAAATGGAAAGTGGTGGCATATTCTGTGTGATTCATGAGTCAGGAATAGAAACACAAACTTCCCAGGTGGTGGTGGCTCAGCTTTTAATCCCTGCACTCAGGAGGCAGAGGAAGGGGGATCTCTATGAGTTTGAGGCCAGCCTGGTCTACAAGAGCGAGTTCCAGGCCAGACTCCAAAGCTACAGAGAAACCCCCGTCTTGAAAACCCAAACAAAACAAAAAACAAAAATGGAAATGCAGACCTGAGGGTCAGAGCCCATTTCCCAAATCTTTACTTTAAAACACTGCGGGTTCAGGGTAGGGGAGGAGAGCCATTGTTCTCACAGGAACTGATTAGACCAAAGCAATGATGAGGAATGTACTTTCTGCACCAAATGTGATGGTTTATGCACATCAGCCAGTCAATATCCCAAGATATTCTTCCTGCTGCATTTCACATAATGCTACATAATAAGTTGTAGTCAAAGGGTTTCACAGTGGGATCCTGTTTGGGGGATTAGGGGAGAGAAAAAAAAAAGCCTGATCTCTCTAGTTTGGAAAGTCACCACTGAGCATCCTAACCAAGTGAGTGATGTGAGCAGCAATTCTCCTGAGAGAAGCAGATATCAGGTGTCAACAAACACATGGACACATCATCACTGTCCTAATATTAAATACAAAAGAGAAATACAAGTAGGCTACAATCTGAATTAAGAACATCAGTTTCATGACAAGATCAAACAGCATGTGCCAGCCATGTTGTAATGTGCTTAACCAAGTATTATTTAGTATTAAAAACCAAGATATGCCAGGCAGTGGTGGTGCACGCCTTTCATCCCAGCACTCAGGAGGCAGAGACAAGTGGATCTCTGTGAGTTCAAGGTGAGCCTAGTCTACAGAGCAAGTCCAAGGACAAGTTCTAAATCTACACAAAGAAACCCTGTCTTGAAAATCAAAAACAAAACAAAACAAACAAAAAACCAAATATATATATATATATACATATATATATATAAAGATGTAAGTCTCTCTTAATTCCACATGTCTCTAAGATGTTGTAACAATCCAGTCCATGTGTTTCAATATGCATTTTTATAAACATGATTCAAGGAAATGGCACAGATCCCTCATACACAGTGTATGAGACCACAATCAACAATATATAAGGATACAGTCCATCCTCCATATCAATTGGGCTTCAATTTTATTTTTTCCCCGAGACATGACTTCTCTGTGGACGTCTTGGAACTCACTCTGCAGGAAAGGCTAGTCTTGAACTCATACAGAGCCACCTGCTTCTGCCTTCAGAGTACTGGAATTAAAGGTGTGGCATATTTGCCAAAGTACAGGTCATAAGTGGATATGGGATCTCAAAACAAAACACAACAAAATGGGGCAGAACAGAGAAAAGTGCCACAGGAAATACAGAATAATGGATCTGTATTATAAAGCTGTAGTCATAAAGCTAGTCTGCTATGGGCATAAAAATAAGACAGGAGGATACCAGAATATGATAGAGGACCCAGAAAGAAAACCAGAAAGCTATGCTCATTGAATATTTAATGAAGGAGGCAAAAAGATAGATACAAAAACATGTCCTCTTCAACAAATAATGGGGGCAAAACTAGATCCAGTAGGAAAATGAAATGAGATTTTTATTCATTTATATAAAAATCCATTCAAAATGTATCAAAACCCTTATTTAAAATGAGAAACACAGAAACTTAGAAACATAGGGAATATCCATGGGGATATTGAGATGGGCAAGAAATTACTGATTAGAAAGAACAGCAACAGCACAGGAACTGACCCAACTATCAACAGATGGGACACCATGAAAACCAAGAGTTTCTGTACATCAGCAGAAACAATCAGCAGAGCACACAGACACCTATAAAGCAGGAGAGAATCTATACCTGCGACACTTGGGATAGGGGCTCAAATATAGACATTACCAAAAATTACAGAAATTAAGTAACATGGAAATAAAACTGTCAATCAACAAAAGGGCAAATGAACTAAATAGACACTTTTTAAAGACAGAAACACAAATGATCAACAAATATTTTAAATCTTAATGATCCCTAAAATGCCATGGAAACACAAATTACTTTGAAAGAGTACATCACCCCTGGCAAAGAATGGCTGTCATCAACTAACCTGACAACAAATGTTCGAGAGGATGTTGTGAGAAAGGAACCCTTGACCCATCCAGCAGGCCAGGTAATTTGTGGGCCTCGAGGAGGAATCACCTGAGTAGGAATGGGGGGAAAGAGAAAGGGAACCAAGCGCGTAAAGAATGACAGAGTCAGTCTGAGATGCGTCAAGGCTCCGTTTATTGCTAGCAGGGCTTCATTCTTATAGGGTGGTTCTGGCAGGGAGGGGTAAGGTTAGAGGGGATTGGAAACTATTGCGCCCTAGGCCAAGGAGGAAGTAGTTGTTTTTGCAATAGTTGTTTTTGTTCTTATTATATCTTTTTGGAATATCTTTTTGGAATATCTTGTGGTTAAACCGTTCCGAGAACTGTGTCACAACTGATCATGCTTTCAGCAGCAAGCTGTTCAGAGAGGATGAGGAAGATTGGCCAGTACTTTTGGTCGGCGGGGTTTCTTGGTCCCCAACAAACCCTCATTAACTGTTGGTGTGTGTTGAGGGGGGAGTATAAATTAATACAGCTGTGAGAAGCAGCCTGCAGATTATTTAAAAAATTGAAGCGAGAAATAACATATGACCCAGCAACATCACTCCTGGGAACTTAACTGGAGAACTCTACACCCCAATATAGAGATATTTACATCCATGTTCACTGCTTCTGCATTCACCACATCAAAGTACTGCAATCAACCTAATTGTCTGTCAACAGGTGAACAGATAGTAAAAATGGTATACACATAAAGTGGAATACTATTCATCTGAAGAGAAAATGTAATACAAAACTTCAGGAAAATGGATGGACTCAAAACATGCAGTTATCAGGTGAGGTCATACAGTGGTAGAAAGAAGAAACCACATTTCCCATCATATGAAGAACCTAGCCAACAATACATGTATATGGAAAACAATGAGTACAGCAGAAAAAAGAACTAAAAAGGTTAACTATTAGAGTTGAAGTAAGAATGAATGCAGGTGAACCCCAGTTATGAAAAAGGCTAAAAAGAATTTCTTTTCTCCTTCTAATACTGTCACAGGCCTTTTTGGATTTCGGTGGTGGATGAGTACATCACAATATATTCAATTGTGAAAATATGAAATCCTATGTGAGGTTCCAGAGCTTCTGTTCCCAATGACTATCTTAATGGGCATAAATGTTCATTGAGTTGCCAGGATTGGTGGCACACACGTTTAACCCCAAGCACTCAGGAGGCAGAGGCAGGTGGATTTCTGTGAGTTCCAGGCCAGCCTAGTATACAAGGTGAGTTTCAGGACAGCCAGGGATATACAAGAGAAACCTTGTCTTAAAAACAAAACAAAGAAACAACAACAACAAATTCATTGAATTGTATAATCTTTGGGTCTGGTTAATTTCAGTATGTGAACTTTTGTTGTTTATTTGCAACATAATAAAGTTAAAATGTTATCAGGAATAGAAAATTAAAGGCTTTCAATGTCTCAAAATATAACATTTCTAGAACAATAATGGACATGACCACTGACCTGGGGCATGTTTACAGGAGAATCAACCATTTCTTTTTGTTTCTCTTCTTTGAGTCTCTCTTCCAGGAATAATGAATAGATGGCTTGCTGATGGAGGAAGGTCATTGGTTAAATAAAAAGAAACTGCTTGGCCCTCATTGGTTAGAAGATAGGTGGGAGGAGTAAACAGAACAGAACGCTGGGAGGAAGAGGAAGTGAGCTCAGACTCCACAGCTCTCTCTCTCGGGAGCAGACGCCTCAGAGAGTGGCCATGCTCCCAGCTCCCAGGCAGATGCACTCGATGAAGCTCTGACCCAGGATGGACATAGGCTAGAATCTTCCCGGAAAGCGCACCTAGGGGTGCTACACAGATGATTAGAAATGGGCTAAATTAATATGTGAGAATTAGCCTAGAAGAGGCTAGATAGAAATGGACCAAGCAGTGATTAAAAGAATACAGTGTCCATGTAATTATTTCGGGGCATAAGCTAGCCAGGCGGCCGGGGTGCTGGGAATGAAGCCCCGCCGCCCTTATTACTACAGCTTGCTGCACTTTCATATAAGGGATCAAAAAGAAAAAGCAAAAATTACTACTGAAAACTGTTAAAGAACAATGAAAAGACCCAAGCAACAGAATACAATCAGGTGTCCAGTCAATGACCCCAAATCCAAGACAGCATGAACAACACTGGAAGCTTGGAGGAAAAAAAAAACACTGTAAAACATATTGTTGCCTCCAGAAAAATAAGTCATTTTAAGGTGATGGAGACAGAAATGCATTTCAAGGTAGTCCCCAGTTAAAACAATTGATTTCACTAAAGCAGCACTGCAGATAATAAATTAGAGGCAAAACATACAGTAGAGTCAGAGGAATCATCCATGAGAACATGTGAAAGAATAAATTTCATGTGAAAAATAGATAAATACAGGAGAACTGGGAAGGAATCCATGGACAAGAGAGCAAATCACTAATTCTCACAGAGAAGGAAGAAAAAATACTACCATTAATCTAACAAACAACAACTTCAAAAACAAAAACATAGGGAATAAAAATCCTATCAACAAAATATGTAGCCACTACCTGAGTATGGTGGTGTAAGCCTTTAATTTCCCTGAGTGGGGACAGAGGCAGGCACTTCTCTGTAAGTTCAAGGCCAGCCTGGTTTACCGAGCTAGCTCCAAGACAGTCAGGGCTACACAGAGAAACTGTCTAGAAAAAAACAAAAACAAACAAACAAATTTATCTACCGCTCTGGAAATCCATATGGAGAACCCTCACCTAAGCAAATAAATCCTCACCTTAAACAAGTCAAGCAATGACCCAGCTGTTCCATTTCTTGGTATATGCTCAGAAAACTCAACATAGTACTTCATAGATACTTGCTCGACCATGTTCATTGCTGCTCTACTCACAATAGCTACGAAATGGAAACTACCTAACTAAATTTCCTTCAACTAACAAATGGGTAGTGAAAATGTGAATACTATTCAGCTATAAAGAAATTGAAATCATGAGCTTTGCAGGGAAATGGGTGGACTTGGAAAAGATCCTATTGAGTGAGGTAACCTGGATCCAGAAAGACAGACATTGCATATTCTCTCTCATAGGCAGTTCCTAGCTCCAAATCTTCAGATGTGAGTATACAACCTAGAGTGAGTGCAGTAGCCAGAACAATAAAAACAGACTACTATGGGGTGTGGGGAGTAATAGAGAAGGGAATAACAGGGAACAATGATTTAAAGGGGGAACTGGAAAAATGGAGAGAGATTTCATTATGGAGAAGGAACAAATATAAATACAGAAGGGGGGTAAAATAACAGTAAGGATGTTCAAAATGCCATAAGGAATCATGTTACTATCATCTATCAAAAATGCCTGCGATACACACAAATCTGTGTATGCATGTACATTTAGAGTGTAAATAAGAGCTCCCATTTGGGCTGATGATTTTCCTCACAAGAGTCACAGACTTTCTAACACAACAACCAACATCAGGTGTGAGAAGCCCGCTTTGAAGTTGTTGGTCACAGAGCTATTGCCCATGGTGGCATCCCAGAGGTCGAAGGTGAGTCCCTATTGTTGGAGAATCCATGCACTTTAGACCCCAAACCCAGAGGACTTCAGATGGATATGACCTGGGGATTAGTTTCTCAGTGTAGCCCTAGTTGTCCTGAAACTCGAGTTGGAGACCAGGCTGGCATCACACTCAGAGATCCACCTTTCTCTACCTCCCTAGTCCTGGGATGAAAGACATATCCACCACCACCTGGCATGCATGCCTTTTCTAACTGTGAAAATACTGTGACCTCGTACTCTTAAACAACATATGGTGCTTTCCAGACTCCAACATACAAAATTAAAAATTCAGCACAAGAAGACACATTCCATTTTTCTTCAAATTTTTTTTGGTCTGTTTTGTTTTGTTTTGTTTTGTTTGAGACCAGGTCTCATTGTTACCTATGGGGGTTCTGGAACTATGTAGATCAGGCTGACCTTGAACCCACTAAGATTCACCTGACTCTGCCTCTTGAGTGCAGGGATTAAAGTCCTGTGCCACCAGGCCTGGCAAAGACACTTTTCAGAAAGCTGTATTTAAGCCAGAGTGCACATGTCTCAGACAGAAAATTAATGGTGGGTAAAAAGTTTACTTTTAAATGCTAATATTTACAACCATAAAAGTGGAATATACATATATTCAACTCAGTCTGTAGGCATTCCTGTAGGGTAATAGGCCAGAGGAAAAATCACTCTTTCTGTTCCTGGCTGTCCCAAAACTCAACAGTCTTGGAAATCCCCAACTCCTGAGTCCCTGTTAATGGCCAATGTTTCAGCCTTCATTGCCCGCCAAGAAACACTTCCAGCCCCATTGCCCTTTTCTACTAGGTCATAGAGACACTATGAAAGCCCAACCCTCTACTCAGCCCTCTGATGTCTTTCTTGATTTTTGTTGCCTGTTGTGACTTTGCGTTATTTCTTGCCTCCCGACAGCGAAGATTCCCTTGCTCGGAAAAGCCCTTACACTTCCTTTCATAACTAATACCTAAAAGTTCTCCGGGGATGCCAAGTCCTCAGGTACCACCTATCACACGGATGTTAGTGTGAATGAATATAAATTTCAAGAGCTCTGTCCTTTCCGTCATTGCAAAGAGAAACGTGTTTGCAAATAACAACGGATACATCGAAAGATTCTGTGGGACCCTCACCTCTATTCTCATAGAGGTGAAAAAGAAATTTCCTATCTAAGTGTTTTAAAATAGAAACCCAAACTAGCTTGTTCCCAGGAAGATAGTGGTAGTCCCTCCTCCCTCCCGGGGAAATTCCAAGCACAAGGCCGCCTGACAGTGAATAAGTGACCTAGCCCTGGAAACAAAGAACAAGCAACTAGCTAACACAGCAGGATAGGAAAGAGCAAAAGACCTGGCACCTGTGCCAAAGCGGCTCTAAAAGGCTTTCTTATAGTTTTTCCTTAAAAAGACTAACCCCGCAGGAGCTCAGCTCCTCCACCCTTGCTGCAAACTAGGGTATCTGGACAAGCTCCTCCGAACTGCAGTTTGATTTACGCTAATTAGCAACAATGAACAGTGCTTTTGCAGTCTGGTCTTCTCTGGTTTCTGGTGACCTTTCTGGGGGTGAAAGTCTGGGCGCAACAATTCTACTAGGGTATACTTACCAGGATATTATGGCAGTCAGATGAATCTCTTAAGCCGAGGTTAGCCTGGTCTACAGAGTGAGTTCCAGGACAGCCAGGATACAGAGAAATCCTGTCTTGAATACACCCACCCCTGAAAACAAAACAGCAACAAAAACAAAAAAGAAATATTTTCATAACCAAATCAATGAAAAAATCAGGATTAGTCCAGTTCATCTAAACTTTAAGACAAGGGTAAGAAATCCACAGGAGAATTTCGGAGCCAGCTTCCTTATGAACAGCACAGAAACTGTTCGAACCCCTGGTCCCTTCCCTCCTGGGTCCCAGCCCCGCAGCTCCTCTGACCTCGGAGATTGCAGGGCCGCCGGGCTGCGGTTCCCGCCACTGAGCTGCTGATTTTCCCAGGCCGCCCCGCGTGGAGACTGCGGAAGGGTCTTCCTCACCAGGTCTGCACTACGCGATTCCCCACGGTGCAGGCCCTCGAGCAAAGACATAGAACCGCAGTTCAAAACTTCTTCCTTTATTTAGCTCTTCAACATCCCTGGTGCCACACTACAGGTTTCCCATCTTCCGTTTACGTCACTCCTCTAACCCCTCCCTACATTCACCTAAGGTCCAACATCCTCCAACCGTTGTTTCCCGGCCAGTATCTCCGCCCCACTGAACGCTCCCTCCCACTCCGTCTCATGCTGCCTACCACTCAGCTCTGGCCACCAGGCTGTCCTGGACTCGCTCTGCACAGCCTCCCCACTTGCTTGCTGTTAGCCTAGACCTGAACTGGATCTAGGAGGAGGCTGCACCCCGATATCACACCACAGTGAGTTCTGAACCCTTCAGATAAAAGCTAGACAGCCTAACCTTGATTTGACTGCCAGCCTCCTGGACAACATCTTTACATCAAACGATAATAGGCTAAATTCAAATGCTAAATAAAGATGCTTTGAGATTAAACTGAAAGTTTTCTCTATGGGGGAAAATACAATGATGAATGCACAGATTTTTAGCTTTTCCTGACAAAGAAAATAAGGAAAACATGTCCTAAAAAACATCAGTTACACCATCCTGTCCATGACTTTGAGAACATTAAAGAAGAGGAGGTGGAAAGGAAATAAGAAGGGAAAGAGGAGGAAGAGCTAAGACATGCCATTCTCTAGACTCCATACAGCTGCTGTAATCAGTAACCAACAGCAACTGTACTACCTGCATTGTCCTCACACTAGACCACATCAGTCTAGGAAAGGGAAAGCTCACAGGACCCAACCATCTACCACTCAACTGTTGTCTATGGATGGAATTGTAGGAGCAGAATCACTGCCTTTGCTTGTAGTCCACTAGACTCCTACACATCTACAAACCCACAGTTTCACAGATGACTCTGGTTAATCTCAGTGGGTC